TATGCATCTCAATTCTTTCCCTTACTCTCCTCCCGCATCGCCTTCCCTTTGCCGAGAGAAGAAGAGAAGAAGAAAAAGACCCAAAAACAAGTAACAGAAAACACAGCTTTACAAAAGACGCCCCTGCCCTGCCCTTTCTCCCAAGGGAAGATGATGTGAACAAAAAGTTGAAAAAAAGAGACCAAAGGACAGCAAAACGGGAGAGAAAGAAAAACGCCATGCAGTGTGCAAGTTGCAGAAAACAACTAAAAAGAAGAAGAAAAACCATGGGGGAAATAAGGGGAGGAAACCAGTTGTGGAGGAGAGGGGAAAGGGGGAGAGGAGGGGAAGCGGTCACTCTGCTGGCACAAAAGGTGGTGAACACATGAGATTCCGTGTTGCGAGTGACAAAAAACCCCAGGAAAAAAGGTAAGTTTGTGAAACCAAAAAAGGGGTGGGAATAACAATAAAAAAACAAGCAATCATCGACATCGTTCAGACTCTGACAAGAATAACCGGTCCCTCATCTTAGTCCAGCTTTGAAAACAGTTGGGTTTGGTTGGGGAACAAGGAGGAAATTGGTAGTGTGTCACAACAAAACCGTCTCTTTCCCTTACTTTCTCCACACAGTTTTCTTCCCTTCTCTTTCTCGGGGTAGTTGTCTCTCAATTCATACAAAACATAAGAAGCAGCGCATCGACGAGCGCGCTGTCGAAGCCACCGTGGCGATGCTAAGCCAGCGGCGCAGCAGGCGGCTGAAACGTCTGGGTAATAGCTTCGCTGCCCTCGGCCTCGACGCTGCTCTGGTGGAGCTGGGCAATCTGGCCCGCCATGGTCCGTAGCGCCTCGCGGGTAGCGTCAATGTTGAGCTCGCCACGCTCAGAGGCCTCTTTGAGATACTGCTCCCACTCCGGGTCCATGGGAATGTTGCTGAGGGCTGCGGCAGGCGAGGAGCCGGCTGCTGTACTGGATTCGCGCAGGGCGGCGGCGTGGAGGAGGCGGGCGTTGAGCGAGAAGCCGATGGATGAGTTGAGATGGGGGAGTTCTTCGTCTTCTTCCGACGACGACGCAGAGGAATCGTGCTCGTTTTCGTCTTCCGAGTTGCCACCGTTGGACGACGTGGTTGTCGTGGGTGAATCTGGCATTTCAGTGTCGTGCTGTGTGGGGAGCCTGGCCGACGAAGTGGTGGTGATATTTGAGGATGATGCTCGGGCATTGTGATCGCTGCGCTGGTGCTGGAGTTGCTCGATTTCAACCTCAATGTCCGTCTTTATGTTAATGCCGGGTCCTGTCCGCGCATAATGTGATCGCCGGTCTACCCAGGCGCCGATCTCCACACCCGTCGTATCGACTACTCGCACGCCTTCGTCGCGCTCATATCGTTCGCGCGCCCAGAGTGTGCCTTCCCACCGGCAGAAGCCCTGGATCTCTGCCTCTGTCAAGCCGAGTTTGTCAAAGGCGTCGAACAGGCGCCTGTGGTGCGGGAAGCGGCCGAGGCGTTTCCGGTGCGGTTGGAAGGCGTAGTTGAGACCTGGGTAGCGCGCCTCGATTGTGTCGAGCGAGCCGTAGAAGTTTGCAGTTTCGATGCGGACCTCACCGACGAGGTTCTTGGAGAGGTGGGCGGAGAAGGAGGGCGGGTCTGTGGGCGAGGGCGTGGGGAAGAGCGTGTTGTAGACAAGCACGCTGATGGGGCTTTTGCGATGCATGGTCGCGGTGTGGATGTGTGGGTGGTGTATGGGTGTGGGGGTGTGGGTGTGTTGGTTATGCGGCTGGGTTTATTGTATTCTCGCCGTGTGAGTGTGAGAGTGAGGAAGGGAGGCGAGGTGAAGGCGTGGGTGAGTGTTGTTGCGGACGGTGGCAGGGTGCGCGCCGGGGGAAGTCCGTGGGTGAGTGGGTGGGTGAGCGGGTGTGTTGAGGGGGATGGTGAGAAAGAGCGAGATGAGGGTGGATAGATGGACGTCGTCTTGGTCGCTGTTGCTGCTGCTTGAGGCGTGACCTGTTCAGCCGCCGCTTCTCTGCTGGCCTGACTGGTCTTGTTGGTGTGTGAGTGAGGGCGCAGTGTGTGTATGCTGACCTCGGGCGTGACCGCTGTTTTGCCTCTCTACCTGCCCACGTTTCTGCGCCTGTCTAGCTCTCCCACTAGTGTCAGACGCTTCGTGGATAAGCGTGTGCCCCGGGTACCTGACAGCTGCCCAGCTGACTTTTGGCCGACAGCCCTTGCGCTTGCGAGTGCTGGATCTGGAAGACGGGGATCTGGGCGGGATTTCAATGGGCGCGAGGCTTTCGGTGTGTGCAGATCGTTCTATAGTAAGGCGAGAGAGAGCGAGCAAAGGGCTGCGGCGTCTTATGGCTGCTCCACACGCTATGCTGCAGATCGCTGCGGGCCACAAGAAGGAGACGACGACCACCCCGGCTTTTTCTGATGGGAAATTTGGTCGGGATAGTAAGGGCCAAGTGCGGCGTTTGTGACGAGAATGCGGCACGGCGATGCAATGGCGACGTGCTGCCGTGGGCCGGAACACGACGACCACACAACCGGTAAGGGGGAAGGGACAGGAGGGGGCGAAGAGCGAGCCACGAGTCCGAGACCGAGACGGGGGAGCGAGGGGAGAGGGGAGAGGGAGGGCGAGCACGAGGATCACGACGTCCAGAAGACCAAAGACACAGTCAAGTCGGCGACAGGCAAAGGGGCGCTGGGTGGCATATAAGCCGCATGCAACCACGTTCCTCTCACACGCCCACACCCATTCACCGCCAACGCATGCACGTTTGGTTGTCGCCATTTCATTCTGCATCGTAACAGAATGCCACCCATCGAGCAGCAGGGACCAGACCCTGAAGCGGCCATGCGCCTCACCCACACACACCGACCCATCTCCAGTTTTTTGTTCTTCGACCACGCCTGGCCCACTCATTCGCCTCGCCGGAAAACTTAACACACGACACTAGGTCCCTCCATCGGCTCCCGATGGCAGCCTGTCGCCTCCACCGACAAAACAAGGGCAGAGCAAGCCCATCACCGCCCGTCTTCGTTGCTGTCAAACAAGGAGAAGAAAAGGATCAGAGAGAGAGAGGGCACGATAAGCCTGCCGCAATCAATCTCTCTCATCTCCCAGCAAAGAAAGAAGGAAAAAAAGCGGCAGCTGAGTTGTCTCTCTCACCACGCATGGGCACAAAGCCTCCCCATAGGTCCCCGTCCGTCTTTCCGGGGCCCGCAGCAAGTCCTCGAGACATGGATGCCGCGGGACGAAGCATGCACGAGGAACGACTGGTCCAGCTCCCAGTGTTCCACTGCACACTGCATTTCTGTCCTGCACGCCTGCGCCAAACCGCTCATGGTCCTATGCACGCCAAGCTTTGCGCTGGACAACTGCTGCATCACCCTTTCCTTGCTAGACGCTGCAGCCGGGGGGAGCCCGACTCATCTTCCATGAGACAAAAGCATCCCGGGACAGACGCAAGGGGTCAAAACGGCTCCTCAAGAAGAGACGTCTGCCTGACTGGGTGGACCGTGGGTACTTACATACTTACTAACATTCCGTGCCATGCCCGCCCTGTGTGGAGAGCATGGAATCCCGTGCCGAGGATCGGCCCTACCGTTCCGTCGCCGGTTTATTCTTGGTGCCCGTCCGTCCGTCGTACATACTTACATACGCAGTACGCTCATCCTCCACGCGGCCTCTCCCTTACCTGTATACGGTGTCTTCTTCGTATTTTTCGGTTCTGATTCAATGTGGATTTCTGAAGACTGCCACTCCTCTCCCTGTACCTTTACTAGGCTGTATGTCTTGGGAACTAATAGCTTTACAAATTTGACACGACAGGGCCGGCTGTTCCTGATTCGCCTCACTCGGTCTTTTTACTCCGGGACCATCTCCACTGATATAATCATCGATCGTATATAGTAGCCATTACTCGTTTGCACCCAATTACAATACTCTTCTTGAATCATTGGTGTCGCACTAGTGAAGAAGCAATTGCTTTTGTTCGCTCCCCGGCTATGTCCCAATCTTGCAACCGGACTAGCACAACAAAGAAGCAGAAGGCCATAATGTGAGTAATGGAAGGAGGGAGAGAGAGAGAGAGTTTTACATACTTATGTCGATCGACCAAAAAGTACAATATAAATACCCGCTCAAGTCTGACTAACTACATTTATTCTCTGATATAAACTATGACACGACACTCACATCTAATTACAAGGATTCCCTTTGTACCTGAAGCCGGGGAGGGATGTATTTATATGAATTGATGAATCGGTTGTTATCATCCTATGTCATACCCTGAGAACTGTTTTCGCGTTAGTCTGGATGCGTACGTTCGGACAATACCTGCTATAGACCATCAGCCCTTGCATGTGTTTATTGCTTAAATATACTAACTAGTTAGACAAGATTTATAGCGTCAGGTTATGGTATATTTGAAAATCATCTATACTGCGAATACTGCAGCTGGATGTGCTTAACATCTATATCTCATGACGGAAAAAACGCAACTCAAATATTATGGCAGATAGTCATTCCCTATAGCAACTAACACATACGTGTTTGGGCAGCTTTTCCTTATTGGCTGCGACCAGTCTAGTCCTATATGCAGGGTCCCAAACACATATTCATGTTGATTGCAACTGCCTATTCCGATCAGCCATGCAAGTGTGATACTTTGTGACTATATGCGAGATTGAAACAAAGGTAGTGAATACCATGTGTTGAAGTTGGAAAATATAATACCTAGTGAGTATACTGTAGGATAAATGATGCTCTTGGCGAAAGAACATCTTTCAAGGTGAATTGCGCTATTCATAGGTTTTCCGTCACATATCTCAATCATCTTACGCACTGATTTAGAAATGAAAAAAAAAATGATTCAATATAAATTGAAACCTATAAACATCGAATAGTAAAGTTTTTCCCAGCACACAAAACCAACAAATGTGGTAGCGTTGCTCCCATAAATTTCATAAATCCATAAAGAAAATCTCCTCATCCCATACCCCCCCTATTTTCTCCCTTATCAACCGCTTACAAAACACGAGCAGCAACAAAATCAGCGGCCTGAGGAGCATCCTGCTCATAGTTGCTGTGCTGGGGAGTGATAATGATACCGTTATCGCAGATGTTGTCGCCCTCGTGGCAGATGATAAGAGTCTTGGAGGCGGGAAGAACGCCAAACGACTCGTCGCGGTCTGCATCACCGAATGTTACAACGGCGGAGACGCGTGCAGCCTGGGCGGCAGTGAGACGCTGGGTAGCGGTGTGGACGAGCTGGGCGCCCTGAGAGTAGCCTGAGACGACAATCTTGGTGTTGGGGCAGCGGGATGCGGTCTGTAAGAAAGTGTGAGTGGCGATGTATGATATATCAGTAGTATAATGGCAAACTTACCTGGTTGATCAAGTTGAACATGGAAGTAGCGCCCGCGGCATCACCTCCGGCCAAGAAGCCGATAACGTTGGCGGCGTAGTTGACACCCTGGATAGCCAATTGGCCGGTTCCTCCTACACGGGCGGCAACGGCGTTGAAGAAGACGGGGCCTTCGGTTCCGGCAGCACCAACGTTTCCGGGGGAGCTGGTACCACGGGCCCAGATAAGAGAGATTGGGCGGCAAGCGGTACCATCGGTCAGTTGGTTGTAGGTGTCACTGTTGTATTGACGCTTGGCAAGATCGCGAGCCTCGACGCCCTCATTGACGAGCTTTGCAGCGTACTCGTCAACAGTGAGACCGGTGTCAATGATGTCGGTAATGGGGAAGCTGTAGTCCTGGGCGGGTGTTGGAGCGGCGAGCGTAGTCGAGGCTAGTGCCGCGAGAGCGAGGAGAGAGGGAGCGCAGGTCTTCATGATGAATGATATTGGGTATAAGAATAGAAAGTAAAAGCGAATGAAATGTATTTTGTAGCTGAGAAGAAGAGTTGATGTGCTGCGGTGATTCGAAATTAACTGCTACCACATGTCGCCTTTTGTACCTGGTGGCTGACTCGTCTGCCATGGCAGGTGTCCCATCGTGGCCGTATACGATCGATTACAACTACCCAGCCTCTTTCCACATGCGTCAAAATCCATTGTCATCGAATCTTAACTCCTCTTTTTGAACTACTATTCCAGTGTTCATGTCCGTTGATGCACACTGCCACCCTGGTCAACAACCGGCTCGGCGTCCAATGGGTAGAGGAGCACACTTCACGTTGACCAGTGGTTGTCCGTCTGATCTCCGTTGTGTATATTGATGTGCAGGATGGCGCGCCGAGCCTTTCTTGTGGGTTCCTGCTTCTGGGATCTGCTTAAGGATCCAGTGATGCTGTACGCCCGACCTTCTTGTTCGCGTTAGCAAGCCCCAGGAACCGCACACGTGGTTATGGAGGGCACTACCTAAACAAATAGGAAACCAATTGAGTGAGTGTGAACTAGTGGTGCGCAATGTGGAAATTGGGTTACTGTGTCATTGGTCGGGCCGAGATGGGAACAAGTCATGCGTATGGGGGCCGCGGCCATGGCCATTATCAAATAGCGAGTGAATTGTGAGGGCTGTGCTGTATCTTGTTCTTTCCTCGTATCAGTTAAATAACATCATAAAACCAAGGAATTCTCTCGCTGGGTAAACGACATGTTGACTTGACAAGTGCTTGGAGCGTAAGGTTGTGCAGAATTGTGTAGAGTTGTGTGTTGTGTGTTGTGTACCTGTTAGGCGCCTGACGTCATGCCAAGGGCTGACACTACCTTCCTATTTGCTTCTGGTTAGAGTCGCAGGCCTGGTGTGCGTGTGAAAACTGTAGATCCAATCACCCAGCCTTGTGTGAGCCACGCTTCATGCTAGACACACATGTACTCTATGCACGGTTTCAAGTAAGTATGCAAGTAACAGTCCTTATTACCGAACATAATCAAATTGCCTCTACAGCCATCGGCGAGATCCTTCTGCTGCACGACTCGATGTCTAACCGTCTTGCAAGCTCGAGCCTACTTGTTGTCAGTTCCAATGGTACTTCTTCGGCAGTTGACGGAAACAGCCGTATCTGATGGCTGCCGTTGCCAAGCAAAAACTCCAGCAAGGCTACAATCGATTGCCGACGTTAACCCCAGTCCCCATTTGGCGCCTTGGTAGCATTACGAGCTTCCCCATACAACACAGATCTACACCGTCCCCCGCTGCCAAAGCTAAATACGCGTCTCTTCGATTGCGATATCTTGTTCAGTGACGTGAAAAAATGGCGATACCGGAGGCGAATGGCTCTTGTGGAGAGTGGAATGGCGACATTGACGATATATAAATCAATCAATATGGAGAACGGATGGGCTCGGTAGACTTTGCCAGTGTAATTTCCGTCCTTCACCATGTGGTCGGCCTCGGTTCTCGCCGTTTATGCGGTAGCCCTCTTCCAAGGCGCCGTCTCCACACCAATCCACCCCCGCCATCCTCATCAATTCCCCAGCACCGAGCAATGGCCAGCGCCAGTCGTGGGAAAGCCGCTAGAGCAGCAGTTGCCCGGCGAGGAGCTCCAGGACATTCTTTCGCAGATATCCCGGGACAACATTGAAGCCACCATTCGGAAGCTTGCTTCGTTTGGCACACGCCATACTCTGTCGAGTCAGACTGATCCGAACCGAGGCATAGGCGCAGCGAGGACATGGCTGACAGCACGATTTCAAGAAGCAGCTGATGCAAGTGAGGGGAGGATGACTGTCGACTGGAATAGCTTCACCAAGTACCCTGGGGACAATGAGCGAATCATCTTTCCAGTCAACATTACCACGGTGGTTGCGACACTAAAGGGAAGCGAGGACCCAGACCGGTTATATGTCACTGGTGGACATTACGACTCCCGCAATAGCGACCCGATCGACTACCAGGGAGATGCTCCAGGTGCTGTTGACGATGCATCCGGGGTTGCCGTTTCCCTAGAGCTCGCCCGCATCTTTGCGCACTACAAGCCCAGGTCGACCATTGTGTTCACTGCCTTTGCAGGCGAGGAGCAAGGCCTCCTCGGCGCGGAAAATCTGGCACAGACCTACAAGAATGCTTCTGTCAATGTAGCCGGCATGATTAACCTTGACATGGTAGGCAACTCCAAAGCCGAGGATGGCACTGTCGATCCTTACAATATTCGTCTCTTTTGCGAAGGCACGCCCTTGACGGAGAATGCTACACGGACTAGGTCGCGTCTTAGTATTGGCGGTGAGAACGATAGCCCGGCGCGTAACCTCGGTCGACATATTTACGAAGTCGCGTCCAATTCTTGGACCGAAATGACTGTGCGTCTCATTTATCGTCTGGATCGATACAGTCGCGGAGGCGACCATCGCCCTTTTCTCGAAGCCGGGTACACAGGCGTACGCTTTGTGCAGCCGAACGAAGACTACACTCAACAGCACCAGAATGTCACTGTACGCAACGGCAAACAGTACGGCGACTTGGTCGAGTGGCTCGACTTTGAGTACAACACTCGCGCCGCAAAGGTTGTCGCAAGCACTATGTGGAGCCTTGCAAACGCACCCAGTGTACCAACAAACGTCGGTATTAATACCACTTCGTCTGACAACTTTAGTCAGTTCAGGTGGACTGCACCTGAAGGTCTGCCTGTTCAAGGATACGAAATCCTATACCGTGAGACAAACGAGGCGCATTGGACGAATGTCATTGATGTTGGCAATGTAACCTGGTACAATCTTACCTCTGCTACCATTCACAAGGATAATGTGATTTTTGGAGTGAGGAGTGTAGCTGAGGGGGGATACAAGTCTCCTGCAGTCTTGCCGTTTCCCTTTGGATGTTCGAGGAATTGTTAGATCTATACGTAGATGTTGAAAAGCGAAAAATACATGTAGAATTTTATGAAAGAAAAATCCTGCCACCAAATGTTCTGTTGTGCGAATAGTTGGATTTCTGGTTATTGATGACTGTAGCTAAATGATTACTATGCGCATGCTGTTTGGTGACGGCGAGTGAGTACAACACGAGACTATTCATGAGGTAGCTAGTGGAATTGGAGTACTAGGTAGTATTAGCAGCAGTAGTGGTATTGGTAGCTGTAGGCTTACTGCTCTCGTTCGTTACGAATCCAGCTGCATCTGTCCAAAAACGGTCCGGATGCACTAGGAACCGTGGGCCGCATTCGGTGATGTGGGAATAGTGAGCACTGGTTGGGTATAGTGGGGCATAATACTACGATCTGGAAAAACTACTTTCCGGATGCCAAGATGTATCACGTGTTTAAGCAAAAAAATCATAAAAATGAAAAAGTTTTTCAAAAACATACGACAGCGGGGATTCGCCAGTGGTCACCCACCTGACTACTAATCCGCCGATTTCAAGCTTGTATAGGCCAGATCGAACGGGATGGCTAAATTTCTTGAATCTATGGCCGTATGTGCCAGAAAAATGGGGATTGGTAATTCAAATCCGTAGAAAATTAGAAAAATCGACGTTTCCAAAGAGCATTGGTGAAAAGTCGGATTAATGTAGGTCCGATCACGTGGACTAAGTAGGGCATCCTTGGCGACCCCAACCCAACGTACTCTCATCAATTTACGACTAGTATCTATGCTATAGCTGGATATCTGAAATCGTGGACTGCGTATAATCGAGAAAGCATATGCGTATCTGATAAACGTAACACATTACATTGACGCACGGAGCAAAGAGGACGATGCAAAATAGCCAATGTACTCCTTTTCTTGCTCCATCCGATTGAACTTCTTGTTCCAATAATAATACAAAGAATATACCAAGAAGCCCTAGCCCATATTACAAATAAGACATGCAAGAAAGGATAACTCGTCGTATCCATAATTCCAATCAAGCCCCCAAACTCAGAATAAAGAGTTTCCTACCTAGTCTATTACCCCCTTTAGAGCCGTACATAACCTACACAGCAAACTCACGACCCAATCCCTACTCCACAACTCGCCATGCGGGGCTTCCAAAACTTACACATGCATAACCCCAATAAAGAACGTGCTTGGGGGCCCTGAATTCCGAATTCCCGCACGGGGGGGGGGGGAACTGCGTTGCTCCATACAACAACCCCCATAACCCGACAAAAAAGCGAATCCATCCGACAAGCCACGGCGCAAAAAAAATTGACTTGATAAATTACAAAGTTTTAATGCTGGAGGTGAGCGGACGCGAGTAAGTGCCAGGGGGCGCGGAAGGGTCGACGTGTGTCGTTGGAGAGAACATTTTTGCACTTAGCGCAGATGTCGTGCTTTTGCCCCATTGTAAAACAATCATCGAGGGTTTTTTTCGAGCCCGCAACCCCTTCATCAGTGCAACCACAACCAAGGCCAAAACAAAAAATTGGGGAAACGGGTGAGTGCGTGGTTTCTAGACCTAGCCAAGAGAAAGAAAGACGGCATGGTCTTGGATTTTTTTTTGATTTGTTGGGACAATTGGATGGGGTGCAAGGTTTCTTACGTAGTTTATGCTTCATGTGTATATATACTTGAGCCCTTGTCTCTCCAGTTATCCTGTGGTTCATCAATCTTCACCCTTCTTTTTCCTTAGTTCTCCCCACACATCCCTCGACATGTCCTCCACATCGTCGCTTTCAGGACCCAAGGGGTCCGGTCCCTTTTTCCGATCGGTTCCATTCCAGATCCTCGTAGCATGCGGAGTCTCGTTCACGGCGCCGGGCATGTGGGATGCACTTGGAGGACTGGGTGCCGGTGGAGCAGCAGAGCCCTACGCGGTATCCGCAGCTAATGCCCTGGTATACGGACTCTTCGCCATTGTGTGTGTTGCCGCCGGAGCGATTAACAATCGGATTGGACTCAAGTATGGACTTGCGCTGGGAGCGATTGGGTACCCGTTGTATGGCGCTGGACTGTACACGAACAATGTGTCGGCGAATACCTGGTTTATGCTATTTGGATCTGCGCTGTGTGGAATCAGTGCAGGATTCTTCTGGGCGGCGGAAGCGGCTATCATCATTGGATATCCCTCACCGGGCGACCGCGCTTTCTACCTGGCTATCTGGCAGACGGCAAAGGCTCTGGGACCGATTGTCGGCGGATCCATCAATCTGGGCTTGAACGCGAACAAGAAGACTGTGGGCTCAGTGTCCTCGACGACATACATTGTCTTCATCGTCATCATGTGTCTGGGTCTCCCTGTCGCACTCTGCCTCAGCCCAGCAGACAAAGTGTGGCGACGCGATGGTACGCGGATCGTGGTTGAGCGCGCAGCTACGTGGGGAGCAGAGTTCAAGGCGGTAGGCAAGCAGTTCATCAGCCGACGTATCCTGCTGTTGCTGCCTGCCTTTTTCATCAGTTATTTCTACAACGGCTTCATGAGCACCTGGCTCACCACCTACTTCACCGTCCGCTCCCGCGCCTTCTCTAGCTTCTTCACAAACTTTGCCGGAATCTTCTCGTCATTCATCATTGCGTTTTTGCTCGACAACCAAAAGATTCACATCAAGACGCGCGGCCGCATTGCATTCTGCGCCATCGTTACCATTCTGGTCGGAACTTGGATCTGGGCGACTATCCTGCAGAAGCAGTTTTACGACGCCCCCGAGGCACCCGTGTTCGACTGGTTCCGGGGCGGATTCGGAAAGAGCTATGCACTCGTCTTCTTCTGGCAGTTTGGCGGTCAGGCATTCCAGCAGTTTCTGTATTGGCTCGTTGGACAGTACGCCACGGATCTTTCCAACCTGAGCCATCTTACCGGTATTCTGAGGGGTGTCGAGGCCCTGGGTCAGACTATTGCTTGGGCGTAAGTTTTTCCTGCGATGATTTTACATGGCACTGCTAACACGCAAGACAGTATGCAATCCGAAGGCGGCGCTAACCACTTTGTCAGCATTGGACTCAACTTTGGCATCACGGTCCTGTGTGTCTTTCCTACATGGATTATCCTCTCCGAACTGGAAAAGAGCCACGAGGTTCAAGTGACGGAGGATGTAGACGATACGCTCAAAGTCACTGCATGAATGTAGGAAAATATAAAGGCAAAATATTTAGATAGTTAATCATAATATGTGCATATTTCAAACTCGCTTCACTCACACAACTCACCTCTGGTTGGATGCAAACATGCCCATACCCTAACCCAGTAGTTCCTGCCCTGCATATGGGCTTGGCGATTTTGATCCGAAATGGCGTGAGTACGAGCAATGACATCGTCAGCCCCACTGCACACTACTTACCCCACCCCAAAGCTACTCCAACGCCTCCAACAGCTGGTTTAAAACACACGAGGGTATGACTAGTAGTTCCTACACGAGCGGTTTGTGCATAGGCCTGAGCCCCGCTATCAGTTGTTTCCTTTTTCTTTGCATTTCCTAGCTTGTGGCTGTTTAGCAGAATGACGTCGATTCTCAAAAAGTCGCTAAAGCTCGCGCTGATCCAGCTGGCGTCGGGCGCGGACAAGGCGGCGAACCTAACGTCTGCACGGCAAAAAGTTCTCGAGGCGTCAAAGGCGGGGGCGAAGCTGGTGGTGCTGCCGGAATGCTTCAACTCGCCGTACGGAACAAAGTATTTTGACAAGTACGCGGAGACACTGCGGCCGTCGCCGCCATCAGAGTCGCAGTCGCAAACGTTCCACGCGCTGTCGAAACTGGCACGCGATGCGGGGGTGTATCTGGTGGGAGGAAGCATACCCGAGCGCGACGAGCAGGACTCAAAGAAGCTGTACAACACGAGTCTGACGTTTGCGCCGAGCGGAGAGCTGATTGCGACGCATCGCAAGGTTCATTTGTTTGACATTGATATCCCTGGCAAGATTCGGTTCAAGGAGAGCGAGGTGCTGTCACCGGGCAACAAGATTACGCTGGTGGAGCTGCCCGAGTATGGCAAGATTGCGATTGCGATATGCTACGACATACGGTTTCCGGAGCTGGCTACGATTGCGGCGAGAAAGGGGGCGTTTCTGCTGCTGTATCCCGGCGCATTCAACTTGACGACTGGAGCGCTGCACTGGGAACTGCTAGCGAGAGCGCGAGCAACCGACAACCAGGTCTATGTGGGACTGTGCAGTCCAGCGCGGGACATGGAGGCCGAGTATAACGCTTGGGGTCATAGTATGGTAGTGGATCCGAATGCGCAGGTCATGGAGCAGCTGGACGAGAAGGAGGGTGTGCTGATGCAGGAGCTGGAGGCGGGCAAGATTGAGGAGGTTCGGAAGGGCGTGCCATTGTATGGACAGAGGCGGTTCGATGTATACCCTGATGTCAGCGAAGGCGGCAGATTTGAAGAGTAGAGCATGAATTCAAGACGTCGACTTGATTGTGGTCGTGCTGAGTGACAGCTGTTGAAAGGCTGCCAGTACTATGATGAATCAGAAAAAAGTGCGTGATGCTGGCATATTGTATGTGTAGTTGGTGAGGATGCGTCCAGGCCGTAGTCAGAAGCAGGGCGCTGTTTGGGCAGATGGTTGCAAGAGGACGGGGTGTGTAGGTGAGCACTGTGCCGCCAAAGGCGCCGAAGAGAGGTGGGCGGCAGGGGCTGTGGCAGCTGTGGCAGCTGTGGCAGGCAGGCAGAGCAACGCTGGCTGGCTGGGCGGCTGAAGGGCGACTTGGCTGCACAAGGCCAGCCAGAGTAGGGATGCAGTGCACAACACAACAGCAATTGGTAATTACACTACGCGCAATAGGAGATGGGCAGATTTTTTCATTAATCTTGTTGTTTGAACGCGCCACAGGAGCAAGTAATAAAAACAGCCATCTAACCGTGCATGCAGTCGGGTGCAGCGGCGTGGTGACGATGAATGCGCAGGATATACGAGATAGATAACAGACGGGCACGCGTCGCGCAAGTTACGGGCGAAAAGGAACAAAGTTAGCAGGGCGAGTTGGTGTTTGGGGCGGCGGATGGGCGGCCGACAGCGCTGAATGCAGGCCACGGGTTAGCGAGGGCCGCCTGTCACTTAAGCCCATCCCTCCCCACTGCCCGCCCTCGCCCTCGCCCCCGTCCCGTCCCTCCCCATCTGCCCTCGCAGCTCTGCAGCCCTTCCCCCCTCTCAACCACCACCCCATCATCCCCATCCCCTCCCAACCCGCCGTTCCAACCCGCCCTTTCACCCACACCATGGCGCCCCCCACAAAGAAGAAGGAAGCCACGGGCGACCTCATGATTTCCACTGCAGAGTACAAAAAGACGCGCGACTCGGTACGTTCCATGCCCTTCAACTCTTGTTTTTCTCAACCCGCGACGCGCCTGCCTCAGTCGCCGGGTCGCCAATGACACCACCCATCCCCCACGGCCAACGCCCACCACCGCGCCACCCACCCTTCTCTCTTCCTGCCCACTGCCATCATTCCAATCGCCTCGTCTACGCGACCCAGAAATGCCCGCTTTGCCAACCTCCCTCCCTGCGCTTCTGCCAAAACCTCCACCCTTGTCGCAACCTGTCGCGACTCGGCCAGCCCACTCTACACCACCCAAATCACGGAGCGCAGACAAAATGGCCGTGGCCAACCATAGTTCAAAAGCTTACCATCATGACCAGGTCATTGCCTCGCTCCACAACCTACAGGCCGGTCTTATCCACGTCCAGCACGGTATTACCGACCTCTTGACAAACTATCGCAAGCATTGCGCTTCTGTCCTCGGCGGCGAGGAGGGCGAGATCCCCCCTTTCAATGATGTAGCTGCCGTTGCTGCCTCTGTCATGGAAGCCGGGAGGAACGCCGTTGACGAGACAAAGCAGGTCCTTGCTCCCGTCGATAAGTCCGCCGAGGCCAGCAAGGGCAAGAAGCGCAAGCGCGAAAAGAAGGAAAAGGACCCCAATGCCCCCAAGAAGCCCCTCACGGCTGCTTTCCTCTACCACCAGCATGCCCGTCCCATTGTCAAGGCCGATCTCGAGGCTGCCCTTCCTCCGGGCGGTCAGATTGAGAAGAATGCTGTTCAGCTCGAGGTAAACAAGCGCTGGAACGAACTTCCCGAAGAGGAAAAGGAGGTATGTTTTCTCGGCGCAACACAATTTTTCATCCTGTGCTAATCATTCCGCAGCAATGGAAGGCGTCCTACCGCAACTCAATGGAGGAGTACAAGGCCGAACTGGCCGAGTACATTGCCAACAAGGGCATCAAGGCCACTGAATTGGTCGAGGAAGACGAAGGCTCCGACGACGCCGACATTGAAGCCGAGGTTGGTGCTGCTGACTCTGATGCCTCTTCAGAGGACGAGGAAGAGGCACCCGCCAAAGCTCCCTCTCCACCCGCAAAGACCCCACGCAAGCGCCAGAAGACGACTCCCGCCGTCAATGGCAACTCTGCTCCTATCTCCATTGCCCCCGCTGCCACAAACTCAACTCCTGTGCCCCTCCCCAGCGCACGCTCATCACAAGCCCCAGTCCCAGCTCCTACCACTACCGCAGCTGCCGAAACACCCGTGAAGAAGGATACCAAGAAGAAGAAGGAAAAGGCCGCGCCCCAGCCCATTGCCCCAGCCCCCGCCTCTCCTCACGAAGACGAGCCTGTCCCCGAGGAAACAGTCACCACCAAGAAGAAGACAAAGTCCAGCCGCAGCACCCGTAACACCGAGGCTGACGGCGACAAGGAGAATGCCGCCCTGGAAAAAGCTGAAAAGGCCGAGAAGGCTGAAAAGGCCGGCAAGGAAAAGAAGCGCGATCGCTCTAAGAGAAAAGCCGACTCTTCCTAAGTACTTGTTTGTTGTCCTTGTTGTCGTCTTTTTTAGGGGATCATCATGGCATTAAAAAAGTGACTTTTTTTCTATCTTGGCAAAAACGGGCGGACTTGGGGTGCTGTGGAGTATTTTATCAATGGGTGGTATGAATAGGGATTTTTTTTTCTCCAGGGAGAGAGAGAGAAAAGAGACACCTACTACTTCCAAAAATGACTTTGGTTTCTTAGATGAGCGTTTCGGCTGGATGGTTCTTTTTTTTCTTTTTTTTCTTTTACCGTTCTTCTCCGCATCGTTGGATGCTATGTTCTTGACTTGTTCTTTTTGGCAGGGATATGTCGAGTGAGATGGCGGGATATGTGTGTGTGTGTATTGACCTTTGTTACCTGGGGTTGAGTCTAAGTATTAGTGTTATGAGATTTATACCCCCCCTTTACACCAAAACTAGAATTGTCCACCAAACGTTTGATTTATGAGTCTCTAACCCATAGACAATAAACTCGTTGTTTCAATCCTAAGCTATTCAAGTCCATTAAAAGTGTATGTCATGCACCAACCTCAAATCAACCCCCCTTCCTCCGCATCAACAAACTCATCCTCACTCCCCTCCCCCCCACTCTCCACCCTCCGTCCCTCAACCCCACCAACCACGCCTTCTCCCCCTACAACCCCCGCCATCATCCTCGCCCCATACGCCCGCCTCATGTCCCTAACATCAAGCAGATACTCGAGCGTCAACCGCGCACACTCCTCCTTGGCCTTCTTCTTGCCAAACACATTCCGCACCTCGCCGATGGGGCCCTCGTGCGGACCTGCGTCGCGGAAGAAACAGGCGACAGAGTGGAAGGCGGGGTCGGAGGGGTGCGGGACGTATTTCCATTCTGGGGTGGGGAGGGCGAGGGTTGCGGCGAGGGTGGCGACGCGTTGGGCGAAGCTGGTACCCACAGTACTGTCACTGGTACTTTGACTGGGAGTTGGGGGTTGGATGGATGAGAGGAGGGAAGAGGAGAAAGAAGAAGAAGGAGGAGATGGAGATGGTAGGGAGGCTTTCGAGGCTTTCTTCTTCTTGATGCCGCCGATGGGCGTGTCTTGGGGCCAGGTGCCCAGGGCTTTGAAGTGCTCGACGGCGTGGCGGGCGGCGTCTTGACGCGCTGCTTTCTTTGAGGAGAAGAGGGAAGTGAGGGTGCCGAAGGGTTTGGGGTGGCCTTCGAAGGTTAGGAGGCAGGCAAACTGGGTGCCGGATTGGTAGTCGGTGTAGGTTGGCTGGGGGCCAGAGATTGAGCGTTGGTATTCTGGTTGGGGTGGTTAGTTTGTACTGGGCTTTTTCTTGATATCATATTTCTGAAGGACATGTGATATATCGAACAGACGAATAAGGTATAACCCACCAAGTAGCTTGCCAACATAGTTTTCCACTGGCTCTCTCTCCGTAAGATTCTGCTGCTCCTCTAGCTGCCCTCCTACACTCTTCTTCCGGGTTTTCCCAGCCTTCTTGACTCTACCTTGCCTCTCCATCTCTTCCAGCACTGCAAACGCCTTCTCACTCAATGCTTCCTTGGCCTCCTGCTTGCTGTTGAATCCCTTATCCCCACTCAGTCCTTGCAGTTCCTCGACATCTTCAAGACCAGGAAAGCTAACTCTGGCAGCCCAGCTTGAGCTGCTGCTCCCCTCATAAGTGAACAGCGGTTGCTGGATACCAAGAGCTTGATACTTTTCATGCAAGAGTATCGTATGCTTGGATGACCGGGCACCAACCGCAACTGGGGTAAGCGGCGTCGCATTCTCACTCGACTTTGCCTTCTTTGCTGGAGGAACAGTAGTAGCATACCTCGCCTCACGTTGTGCTTGGTGCTCATCCTGGTTCTGCTTCATAAAGTCGTCCATACTTAGGATACCCGACGGCGGAGCTGCACGAGCCATCGGCTCCTGCTCAGTATGCGCAGAAGTGAACATGGACAGTTGTGTGGGCGTGTCAATCTCCATGTTGAATTCTTCAGCCTTGCCGGTACTACCGCGAGTCGTTATACTATCGTATTCCACGATTGTGTCGAAACTAGAGATAGACGAGCGTGGTTTGGTCGTAGTATAAGGTAGTTCTGGATTTGAGGATAATGAATGTGAAGTGTCAAGTGATGCAGACGGTATAATTAAATACTTTCTGAGGTCGTCTCCCGCCGAGCCCATGGTAATGAAATCAAGCGCGTAACCGTTTGCTGTCCCGGACATTGGTTGAGGTGGGGAAATGTCTCAAGCGGCTTAGCGGGGCAGCTTGTGACCTCGTGATTGCGTGATGGCGTATTTGTAGGATGCGACGCGCCGTTGCATGCACTCTTTGCTGTAAATGTATCGACTCAGGTGATTGATTAGCACAATACAAGACAGGATTGGTTTGATTGCTGTTGAAGGATTTGAAGGCTCCGAGGCGAGGATTGATAGGCAGACCGTTCAGCCCGTCCGTCCGTCTTGCAGTGAGCGTTGCTTGTCTCCGGCTTCACCCAGTTTCACTCCTCATTTAGTCACACTCACTCGCCCTTATTCAGATATTGTTAGGTGGATTCTAGGCGATATTTTGAGCCTTGATAGTTTGTACAGTTTATGCAACAATATGAGAGTGTGATAGTATGCCCTTGGCTTGTCATTTACCATATGTTATTCATCTTGTAGGTTGTGGGAAATCACTACTTAATCACTTCGATAATTACCGAATCACAAGCCTTAGACCCGGAAATGGCCTGTATTGACGAATATTATGTGGATATCAATCAAAAACCTGCTTGCTCAGCAGCAATTGCAATTCTCATCCTGCATTATCAATATTCCCTATCCTTATCTGCATTATCAACTGAGTGCATGATCTCAAGTCCCTCTAGTCTTCCCTACCCATAAGTTCATCTGCCCATATCCCTACTAAAAGATAGAATATCCTGGAATGATTGATGCACTCCTCGAGAGGCCCACATGAGCTGATTGCTATCTGTTTGTATATCATAAAGCCATGCTCGGTCGGGCCTTTGAATCAAGAACCCTGTACATGAAAATCATCTTCAACAAGCATTTCGTGTACTTGAGAGATTCGGTCTTGTTTTTAGCTAACCGGACAAGTTTGATACTACTCCGATGCTTTCTTTAGATGAGAGACCAAGTTCGTATGCTGCCAGTTCGGCTTTGTGGAGTAGCAAGCTACAGGGCTAGTGTTGTGAACGTTGGTGGCTACGATCATGGGAACGGGAGGGTCTTCTTCGGTCATAACAACTCTCAGTCCTGCCCATTCTTGTTGTCCCAAGTTGATAAGCTCTTGCAAATCTTCTAGATTCACGTTTCTGTCGCTAACCTCTTTATATGCGGGGCTGCTAAAGGCAGGCTGTGAAGGGCTACTGTCAGGGATGCTACCACAACCGATCTCAAGACCGTTGTCATATACGCTAGGTATGGTGCCTTCTATAAGTGAAAATCTTAGGCATCCTTCAGAGTAATCGCTCCCGTTGATGCGTATCGAGGTGTTCATTTAGTCCAGGTTGAGTGGAATTGATGCAAGACCACTGGGGGAAATTGCCACAGAGAAGTTCCTATGGGCACACTGAGCCTCATGCTAAGGTCACAGTGTATGCGAGTTTGTACCAATGGCAAGGTCTAACCTCCTTCCCCGCGGGTAGAACATCCCATTGCGCAGAACCATGAAAATATTCAAGCAATACCAATCAGCGGCCTACTATTTCATCAAGTTCAATCTGGTCTATTATTGTAACGATCAGGCAGCAAAGCTCAGTCTTAATGATAGAAGGCAAAGTTATAGCAGGCTTGGTCGAATTTGTAGAGAAGCTATGTACAGCGTGGTGTACTATAACTACGACCTACATCTGTCTTTCCTTTTGTCATACCGACAATTGCTATCTTAAAGACTTCAAGATATTCGTTAGTGTATCTAAAGCTACTATTAAGTGTATTGATCTGATGACCAAGAGGCCTGTAATCTAAGCTTGTATATACAGAGTAGTGGGCTGATTGGTCGCTAGATGCTTCACGTGACCATGCAATGTGCCCTAGGCTTATACCCCATCTACCCTCCGACGGAACGGATTGTTACTTCTCTTGCTATGGATGCGCAACGTTTTGACTACAGAACGTATAGCAGTGAAAAGATACTCTCGTTGTGGCGACAAACATGCGATGGACGCATGGCGTAAGCCCAGGGACGGGCAAGCGGCAGCTCAAGATGATTCAACGCAGATGGGCCTTCTACGACATCCAAAGGTATCCACCGTCAATACACTTCAGTGTTTCAGGTCATGTCATGACTATCGAGCCTACATACCTACCACTTGTCACACGTTGTAGTGTGACCAGATCTTTGGTGTTCCGACCTGACCTTAGCAGGATTACACGAACGCGCCGCACCAGGGGGTCGGCGGCTAAGATGCGCAGCCACGTTCAGCTTGGTGCGAAACACTTTAATTATCTTTCAGCCTGATCGTGGGCATTCTACCCTTCTTATTCCCACTTTGTTACGCATTACTTTTCGCTTCTGCCACAGTCTAAACCCTCAGATACTAGCTACTCAGGCGCTGTTTTGAACCTGGTCTCCAGCAACCCTGGTGCACGTAGAGCAGTTTCGAGGACCATCCAACCAACCTCTTTCCCTACATACAAGACGACTCTTATTTAAAAAACGGAAGGAGAACGCTGATTTAAGCTTACGCTACAGTTTGCTGCACTGCAGCTGTTTAGTAGTAGTTATGTCCAGTGCCCTGGCGAAAGCCTCGCCCTTAAAGCCGGAGATACGCCTTGTCCAGGCTATCTCAGAGTTTGAAGCCGACCTCTCACATGAGCAAAAGTCGATGTTCAGAACTCAAAGATCGCAGTCGCTCTTAAAACCACCTAGTCCACATGACATTATGCAGCTGACGGCTGAGGTCGATCGTCGCACATCACAGAAGTTTAGTAATGCATGTTTTGGGCCTCGTTTTACTTCCTTCCTTCACGGAGTTCAGCAGTTCGCGACTCTTGGAGATATCATAATTGGAGGATCACAGAACTTGGTAGCGTGTGGCGTATGGTCATTGGTACGCATGTCGTTATTGGTTAGTGCCCTCTTCTTGCATCGTTGTCGTGATTAGTTGCTGATACACCGAAGTCGATTGTGAATCTTTCGAACTACATCGATAAGCTGTCCTCGCTATTCATGGATGTCGGCCGTTCTGCCCCGCGCTACCAAGCGATTGCCCTGCTATACCCTCGGTCTTTGGAGCTACAATCAAACCTCTCTGAGTACTTTATCGTGGTAGTTGGCCTATGTCATTACCTGTTCAAGTTCGGTCAGAAATCGACTATCCAGCAATTTGCCTCCTCGCTAAGCGATGCGCGCTTAAAGACCTTCCAGACAGATCTTCATAAGTGGGCAACTTCTATCAAGGAGCAGATGGACGTAAGTGAAGCTCAAGAGAGCTCTGATCTTAGGGCTTTAACGAGGCAAATGTTTAAGTCTACTTCATATCAACAGAGACTTGCAGCTAACGCGCGGGTACTCAAGTTTTGCTCTACGTACGATTATCAAGTAACGTGGAAGCAAATTCGAAAGGCCGGTAATATGTCCTTCTATAAGCAGCAAGCAGAGTACCAAGAGTGGAGGGATAGCTCGTATTCTAGCACGCTGTTGTATGTGGGTAAACTGGGCTCGGGAAAGTCGGTATTGCTAGCCAATATCGTGGACGACCTTAGCCTCTCCGCTAAAGACCCACCCTTGGTGGCATACTTCTTTTGCAAACATGACATTCCAGAAAGTCTGCGGGCGCGGACGATCATCGGTTCACTGGCACAACAGCTTCTACGTACTGTTCCAGATCTTGGCGTACTTGCTAAGAGTTGCGAAAAAGCCCACACTATAGGCGACACTGAGACGGTGCTTGGAATGCTTCTTCGAGGCTTTTCCGCTGATGCAAAAGTATATTTTGTGCTTGATGGCCTAGATGAATGTGATGATGAAGAGAAAGAGACGTTAGTGCAGGCAATCCGGAGGATCCAGGTGAAGCTAAAGATGCTAGTCTGTGCTTCTTTTCGAGAAGAGCCAAGCAATGGCCTACAGTCGATTACTACTAGTAATCAACTTTTGGCCACTCGCGCTGTCTCCATACCAGACGACAACCCAGACATCGACGCCTTTATCGAAGCAGACCTTGAACGTTGCCTTCGCCAAAAACGCCTAACAATTGGAGATCCAACTCTAATCGTCGAGATTCAAGACACGTTATCAAAAGGCTCACAAGGAATGTTCCTCTGGGTGGCACTTCAAATCCAGACTTTGTGCGGTATGAAGACTGATCATGCTATCAGAGAAGCACTAGCAGACCTACCCAAAGATCTCTCCGAGACATTTGCTAGGATTCTACGGAAGTCAGTAAAGTCAGGAAACTCAGGAAACTCAGATCTAGCACTCCAAACGAAGACACTACAGTTTGTGCTTGCAGCTTACCAGCCATTAACAACAGAAGAGTTGCGGGAAGCCCTAAGCGTTACTCCTGGAGATACAACTTGGGATCATTCCAAAATCTTGAATGATGTCTACTCAGCACTGGCTTGCTGTGGATGCCTACTTTCTGTTGACGAAGAGGAGCTTACCGTTCGAGTTATACACCACAGCGTCAAGCAGTATATCCTTAATAGCAACTTTTCGTTTCAGGAGGCGCAAAGGATGTTGGCAGATACAGTTGTCACGTACCTCTGCTATAATGTCTTCGGGACTGAGCTATCAAGAGTCAAGGTCCATCCTGTAGTAGCACAGTCCGCACCATCCAAGATTGTGCAAGCCACTATCAGCTCGTCAAGCACCGCTCGTCATCTGGCTATAAAGTTGCTCGGATCAAGACGGCAACACGAATTTGATATGGGTAAAGCTCTCGCGGAAGCGTACAGCTCCTTCAACTCTAAGCCAGAGCACGTACCTAGATTCTATGCTTATGCAAAGACCTATTGGCAGAACCATATATTTTATGTGTCTGGACATGAAACCGCCATTTTCAGGCTTTGTTCTAAGCTGATCTATAGTCGTGCGTCTGAGCTCAACAAGGCGGACAAGGACTACTGGGCGCGTTTCCAATGGGCTGCCGAGAATGGGAACAGGAATGTTCTTGCACTATTACTACAGGCTACAAAGGATGACGTTGAGGCGAAAAACAGCGACGGATGGACGCCGCTGATGCAGGCGGCAAAAGGCGGACATAAAGACACGGTTGAGGTGCTGCTGAGCGTTGGCAAGGCTAACGTTGAGGCGAAAGACAACGTCGGATGGACGCCGCTGATGGAGGCAGCAAGAGGCGGACATAAAGACACGGTTGAGGTGCTACTTACCGTTGGCAAAGCTAACATTGACGCGGACAATGACGGAACGACGGCGCTGCTGATCGCGATAGCATATGGATATAGAGACATAGTTGAGATGATGTTTACCATTGGCAAGGCTGACATCGAGGCGAAAGATAAAAGAGGAGAAACGGCGGTGATACAAGCGGCATCAGCTCGACGTCAACATGTACTTGAGTGGCTGCTTACCGTTGACAAAGTTGATGTTAACGCTAAAGACAATCACGGATACACGGCGCTGATGACGGCGGTAACAAATGGGCAAAGCGACATAGCTAAGGTGCTGCTTAGCATTGGCAAGGCTGACGTTGAAGCTAAGGACAAGAAGGGATCAACGGCGTTGATACTGGCGGCACGATACGGATATAGAGACACGGTTGAGGTACTGCTTAGCGTTGGCAAGGCTGACATTGAAGCTAAAGACAAGAAGGGATCAACGGCGCTGATGATGGCTGAACGATATGGACATAGCGACATAGTTGAGCTGTTACGTTTACATACCAAAAGCACGTCAAAGACATAAATGTAGGCATTCATGGAGAACCAGTCTTTAAGTTTAGAAATTATTTGGCGGAATGGAAGAAGCCTAATTCGGCCATTTAGGGAACCTGCAATTATATAACAACGGCCGGCTCAGATAACCTGGCTCAAGTTGGAGGATTACGTGATAGCCTTGGAGACATAGCACCGATTGTCAGGTGCGATGCGAAATTTGCTAGGCCCAGAATAGTAGTGTTCAGTCAAAGAAGTAAAGTAGACTCTGCCGAGAAATCAAGGCAGTGCACTTTAGGTTGTAAGAAAGGCTACCAAATCGTCGCGGGTCTTACTGATGATTCAAGTGAAGATAACCGTGGCAACGCTCTCGTGTGCTGTAATCTTGTACAATGCGTGGTTAGCAGGGACAGTTGTGACGAGCCGACTATTGGCTTATCAGCCTTCAATGGCTGGATATTAGTGAGAGCCATTAGAAATCGCTCAGCACAGTGGTATAGATGTCAGTTTTCATGAACAGCAAACTACGCCAGATCTGCATGATCGACAAACGTCCCGTTTGTGGCTTCCGTACTCTGGAAGCGGTATGAAACGCGCTGGACTGACTGTGCCCCTTGGTACGCACTGCTAGGCGTATATCCTGTGAAGGCTTAGAACCCGACAGTCCAGATATAGCGTTCATGCGCAGTGTGGTCATAGCACGCTACTCCTTTAAGTATACTGCGGCCAAGGGCGTCCCAACTTCCGCAACCGGGAAGCGAGGGATGACCTTTAGGCCGGCATGTGTTGCACACGTAATTCCTACCGGACATGTTTGTACTCAATCGTCTAGATCATCGGTGCCTGCAACGTTAAACTTCTTGCGACCGCCTTCTGTAAGGCGTTGGAGCGCGACCTTGTTGGCTTGTGCTCCAACCTTCTGCTGCATCTTCTCGAGTTCCTTTTCAGGGTCATCAGATTCGGCCTCAGCAAATGCAAGGACCAAACGACGACCCAACAAGTGAGTGTTCTTCAAGGCGTTCATGGCGTTAACGGCATCGCGTTTCGTAGTAAACTCTGCGAAACCGAAACCACGTGATGACGCATCGAACTTCTTAGGCACCCTTACAGACCGAAGCTGGCCGTAAGGAGCAAACAGAGCACGAACTTCCTTTTTCTGCAGTTCATGTTAGTATACGCTTGGGGAATAAGAGAGCTAGAAATCTTACGCTCGCTTCAAAGGGTAAGTTCTTAATGATGATCTTCGTGCTTGCCGCCTTCTTTGCTGCATCTTCATTACGACGCTCTTCAGCAGCATCCGCGCCACGGTGGGAAGCCTTGATCTGTAGCTTGTGTCCCTCTAAATCGTATCCATCCATCGCCCGCAGAGCTGCTGTCGCAGTTTCAGGGCTATTGAACTCAACAAAACCAAAACCCATCGACAGCACACCTCGCTTAGGATCGACCTTGGTCTTGACCTTGGCGCTACGGAAGCCAGACAAAGGCTTGAATGCCTCGGTGAGGCGCTCCGTTGATGTAGAAAAGTTGAGGTTTCGCACATACAGGGTAGCGGTGTTGGTTGCTTCCGGTTCTGGAACGTCCACCAGCAAATCGGCGGCGCTGAGCTTCGTACCAGGCTGCGTTGAAGTTGATACTGAGGCTGCTGGGGTCGTTTGCACAAAGTTCGTTGCTACGCCTTCCTTGAACAAATCCTTTGGTGCCTTCTCGAGGTAGAGAATTGAGTCTTTCATCTTTCGGTATGACAAGGACATGAACGCAGATTTCGCTTGCGCAACGTTGGTGAATTCGACAATTGCCGTCATACCTGTTGGTGGCATCAAGAACTTATTCACAGTGCCATGCTCCTCGAACAGCTTGCGGAGCTCATCAGCTGTGACACCGTGGGGAATGTTCTTAACGAGGATAGCAATATCACCCTTTGCGCTCCTCTGAAAAGCTTCAAGGTCAACTCCGTGCTGTGCAAAGTATGACTTCGTCTCCTGGATGATATGTGTCTCGGCGTGTGCCTGCTTAACCGCTGCATCTGACGATGTAGGGTCAAGCAGCTCGGCTTTACTAATACCCATGCGATCCGCAACAGTAGACATGACCGCATCAGCCTAGAGGTATGTGAGCATATTTCCTATAGACACGACAGAGTGAACTGACATTCATGTAGAGCGAGTTCCAGTTGAAGACTGCCTTGGCAGCACTCTGTTTTCTCCTGATCTCTTTCTGCTTCTTCAAAGGCAGCTTGGATATCTCGTATTCATCCAGCTTGGTATCCTTCTTTGCTTTGGCAGAAATGATATGGAGAAGACGGCCCTGGAAGATGGTGTTGTCATTGTCAAGGTATGCTTCGACTGCATCGTTCGGGTTTTGAAATTGAACGAATGCGAAGCCTTTGCCTTTGCCATCAGCCTTCTTCAAGGGCACATGCACCTGCGATGATCAGCAAAGATACTTCGGTATAGTCTGAAGAATAGATGAAGAAGTTTCCCTGCTATCAGAAAGAAAGTACATCTACTAAAATGCTTTCGAGAGATCACCTCAAATGCCGAAGCATCAGTTGTCCCTATCTCGATAATCATCATTGCATGGGGTTCGGAGTGGAAAAAAAAGCTGCTTACTTCTTCAAGAGCTCCATGCTTGGAGAATTGCTCTCGGATCTCATCTTCTGTCACTTCGTAATGTAGATTTCGAAGGTACAGACGACCAGTCTCACGAATCTTGTCTTCTTCGTCAGGCGCAGCACTCTCTGGGTGTTCCGCCGTTGGTTGTGCGGGTTCTGACTGCGCCTCCACTACATCGGCTGAGTCTTCTGCAGCTCTAGGAGGCTGTGATGCTGGCGCTTGGGAAGTTGGTATGTTTGCCGCAGGCACTTCATCGTCTTCGACTAGTTCCAGGACTCTGTTTGTCCTTGAGCGTAGCCAATCCATGTCCGAAACGGGTCCCTGCTCAGCAGTTGGCGCTTCCTGTACATCTTCCATCGCTTCACCAGTATCTACCACTGCGTCTACAGGATCCTTTGCAGGCTCCTCAGCAGAAGATGGTTGCGCTGGGGCAGGCGTGGCTGTAGGTTCCACTGCAACCTTGGGCTTCTTCGAAATGACTTGATATTCGTCGTCGCTCTCCTCTTCTGGCACAGCAATCTCCGGAACAGCGGTGCCCTCAGCAGCATTTGCCTCATATACATGGCTCTCGCCATTTGCCCAAATCTTCGTCTTTGAAGGCGGCTGGTAGACCTCGAGAAACTCCTTGAGCTTGGGATCCTGTTCAGCCTCGTCTCGTTTGCGCTTGAGTTCGTTTTCTTGCCGCGGCGGTGGTTTGTACTCGTCATTGGAAGCGGTGCTCTTCTCCAGCTTCTGCTGTCGTCGCGACTTTGGTAGTTCCTTATCGGCGATCTGTGCCAATTAGCCCCGCTTGTCGCCGTTGTTAGGGTAAGAAGGTGCTTACCGGGCGCGCAATCTCAACATAGATCTTTGTGAGTTTGATGAAGGTCTTGTTGAAGTACTTGACCGCCTTGGCAGCGTCTTCTGGCGTCTTGTAGCCTACGTAGCCTATCCGTCGATGCGGAAAGAACTTGACGTCTGTGACAGGAAATTTGGCAAAGTGCTTGCGCACATCATCTTCGGTGAACTTAGGAGGTAGGCCGCGGACGAAGATGCGTGAAGACTCCATGCTACCGAAGTCTTTGTACGCTTTGGCCTACTCAAAGCTTGGTGTGCTGGAAGCGGATGCAACGAATGTTAGTTAAAAGTTCGCGTCCAGAAAAAAAAGTCTTAATGCTCAGTTTTGCGCTAGCGCACTAGCGCGCATGTGGGAGCTCGGGCCAACGGCTTATGGCTGCGCGAGCGCCTACTCAAACACTAAACACGCCTTGCAACTGCAACCTAAGCATAGCCTCACTCTCCGCCATTATAAGACCGCACCTCTATCCGGACGATCAATACCTTAACTAGTACTTGTGTAATAACTTGAACCAGCACCATGGCAAGCGAAAAGTCAGATACCCAGAAGCAGGATGGTAAGGCCCCTTTTGTTTATGCCGGGTAGTTTTGCCAAAGCACAAACTGATATCATTGGCAGCCCAGATCAAGTCGGCGGACATGGTACGGAACATCCGGAATTATTCTCTGGGGCTCTTCTAACATGTGTGTGACAGAGCGAAGAGATGCAGCAAGAGGCCATTGAAGTCGGTGAGTTGTCTCCACACTGCGTGAGGCCGACAGAACAGCTGACACCGGGCAGCGCAATCGGCAATGGAGCAGTTCACTATCGAGAAGGTGGGCTGCACTACCCACCCGACCCGGGATCACGACAGTGTCTTAAACTAACGTCTGGTGCGCAGGACATTGCTCAGTACATCAAGAAGGAGGTGAGAGACATGACCCTTGACGACTGTGATAAGTGTCCGTTAACGCCCAGGTAGTTTGACAGCAGGAAGGGTGCTACATGGCACTGCATCGTAGGCCGTAACTTTGGAAGCTTCGTTACTCACGGTAATTATTCTTTTTGACCTTGTAATGACCAGTATCATCTGACTTGCATCAGAGACGAAGCACTTCATCTACTTCTACCTCGGTCACTGCGCAATCTTGCTCTTCAAGACACAGTAGATGCATCATCCCGGAGTGGGGTCCATCGTCTATCTACGAGCCATGTCATCTCTCATTGTGAAAGAATGCCTCATGGTCCCGGAGTGAAGAAGGCCGTCTCGTTTCAAGCCGGAGCTTGGAGTGGTGCTCGACCGGTCTTCGCTGTACGTCTTAGAAGACTGTATATTTTTCTCGGCATGTGGCTATTGTCTTTCAACAGGACTCGGGGGCTTTCTGCGATTCAATGGCGTCCTACCACCTAGACACGATGAGATTACCGCATCCCAATCCAACGATTGCGACGAGTCTCCTTCTTTGCATCTTGATGACTTTGGAGGTCAAGATAGTGATATCATAATGAAACGATTGTGCTCTTCTTGTAATGTATTGATCATGGCGTGAAGTGTGAAATATGATCACGTGATTAATAACTTTTGTCAGGCCTAACTGTGCATTACCAGGATGTAAGAACGTTTGAGAACAAAGCCTAAGTCTTGTAATGTGTGGTCTACGTATAGAATAGGTTGAGGTTTACCAAAATTACAAGTGCAAGTTGTTATGGGCGGAGAGGCCTAGCGAACGAGTATGCTTCTACCTATCGTACAGAAGCTAAAAGATGAGGAAAAGAGAAGATAACTAAGTACAGACTTCTCTTATACCTGCTCGCTTCTGATCACATGTCTGTACAGAAAGCATAT